CGTCTCAGAAGCAAGGTGAGGATTTTTAAAATAGTGCCGAGGAATCCATTCACACTTTTATTTTCATGAAATGGGTTCCAGAAACGAACGACCAGACATACTGAATTATTCGCGTTATCGAGATCAAGGTAACCTGATTGTTGGATGAATAAAGGTTCAGCGTCAATTCGAGGAATATCATTCACCGCAAAGTACTCTTTCTTTCAAAAAAAAAAAGAGAAGAGCGTCGGGTGCAGACCATACACCACAAGTGACGACGGCCTCCACAAAATGTAAATGTTTTCTGCCAATGAAATGATTAGCCTGTTGCAGTTGTATTCTATCAGTCACTAATTACAACTATCATTTACCAAAAAATCAGCTATCACTATGAACCACTACTAACCAGATTTACTTGGAGGCCGTCGTCACTTGTGGTGTATGGTCTGCACCCGACGCTCTTCTCTTGTTTTTTTTTTGAAAGAAAGAGTACTTTGCGGTGAATGATATTCCTCGAATTGACGCTGAACCTTTATTCATCCAACCGTCAGGTTACCTTGATCTCGATAACGCGAATAATTCAGTATGTCTGGTCGTTCGTTTCTGGAGCCCATTTCATGAAAATAAAATGTGAATGGATTCCTCGGCACTATTTTCAAAAATCCTCACCATGCTTCTGAGACGAAGAATATTGAGAACTCCTTCTCTTATTTCCAGATTGAATGCTAAACATGTCCACGGGTGCACACAGGAAAGAAAACAGTACACGAAGAGGTCCCATTGTCCTCCAGCTGCGAAGAATCGTTGCCTGTTAAGATTCGTGATTACGACCAAATAGAGCATACAGATCCACAGAAGGAATAGTGATACAAGAAATATTGTTCTTCACAAAATCATGCTGCGACATTTATAAAGGCGAGCTGTGTTGAGAGACGGCGCACCCAGACTTTGGCTCGAAACATGATATTGTTAAATTGCGCACTCTAAAGGAAAAATGACGACAGTCAGCATTAGTATGTTGATATGTGCGTGCACTCCTTGGACACTGTCTACGTTGTACCCGACAGTAAGCCCCGTACGCGGCTAGAAGGCAGAGTCAGCGGACGAGTCGCAGCACACATTGTAGTGATTTCGCGCCAAATTATAGAGAACAAAAGGCCTCAGCAAAAAGCTTTCTCATCCATAATAATTTTAAAAAGTCATTTCAGAATTCAATATAGCGAGATATCAGTATGGCCACTCACTCAACCACCTTGCTGTATACTTAGAAGATGATTTAGTGAGAAATCCGGGCAGCGCTGTTTTGTGGATAATCAATTTGCTCCAATAGACACAAAGCTGTCAATGCTGTCACATTATAGAGGGTGTCGTGTATCCGAACGCATGGCAGTGGCACGGAGTAGTTCCGTCAGCATTTGATGTTTTTAATATAGCAAGGCAGTCTCCTGAGCCAAACGACATAGAACCACTAAAGAGGGAATTGCAAAAACGTCTGTCAAATAAATAGCCTCGAATATAAGCAAACACCGGAATTATGCGGAAGAAAATGGAAGATGTTGCTACTACGAAGTGAGCTCATTAATTGACTTCATGCTTGGGATTAGTGTATCAATGACTAGAGAGATTTCGGAGATACAGCCAGTTACATTGAGCAAGTCTAGCACAACGCCGAAATCTCTCTAGTCATTGATACACTAATCCCAAGCATGAAATCAATTAATGAGCTCACTTCGTAGTAGCATCATCTTCCATTTTCTTCCGCATAATTCCGGTGTTTGCTTATATTCGAGGCTATTTATTTGACAGACGTTTTTGCAATTCCCTCTTTAGTGGTTCTATGTCGTTTGGCTCAAGAGACTGCCTTGCTATATCAAAAACATCAAATGCTGACGGAACAACTCTTGCATATGCGAGGTCCGAGGCGTTGAGTCCTTACACTGCCGTAATTCAAAGTAGGTGTCGTGCGGCTGCCATGCGTTCGGATACACGACACCCTCTATAATGTAACAGCATTGACAGCTTTGTGTCTGTTGGAGCAAATTGATTATCCACAAAACAGCTGCCCGGATTTCTCACTAATTCAGGGTTTAACTTCTTCTAAGTATTCTTAACAAGGTTGTTGAGTGAGTGGCCATACTGATATCTCGCTATATTAAATTCTGATATGACTTGTTCAAGTTGTTATGGATGAGAAAGCTTTTTGCTGAGGCCTTTGTTCTTGATTAACTGTCTGAATTGGTATCAGAGAGCGATAATCTGGCTAAATCGGAAAAATATTACGTTCCAAGACGCAGTGGAACGGTGAGGAAGGCAATAACATCAGTATGACAGAATAAGTTTGTAAATAATGGCAAAGGACAAGGATCCTGTATTTTAAGGGGGCAGGTGATCATATACCGTGTTTCACGACTGGAAACTTCATCTAATCCTACATTCCCCAATGCTAGAACCCTGAATCGCATCGCGGCACCTAGCCATCGCCACGACTGAATCGTCACGCACCCATAAAGCTGTAATGCTGTTTGGAGGGTAAGACAATATTTAGCAAGTTCCAACTGCGCAAGTTAACACTACAGCCTATGCTACGACCACTACCGAGAAAATGTCATTCTTACTAATGAAAACCGAAAAGTTCATATCAAAAGCAAACAAAAAAATGCCAAGAATGGAAAATAACAAAGAATAGCACCAAACGGGTTTCGGTGCTGAGTTTTTTAGCCGTGTAAATTGATGGTATAAGTACAGCAGTTGCTTACAAGATGTTCAAACACGTCCTTCTCTAGCCCTAGCTTATGTTCAGCTGAGAAGGACAGGGCTCCCTTCTTTTGAGGTTCTCACACTGTTTTTCCTGCTTTTTTCTTCATTCCCGACCCAATTAGCATTATACAGCATTAAGTACACTATATTAAGGCTAATTCTCTCTTTTTATGCCAGAGCTTACCTTTAACTGTCCTTTAACCGTTCGTCTTCTTCATACGCTCGAAGATAGCCCGAAACTTTGTGGGCTAACCGACCGTTCATGGGAAGACACAAGGAATCACGCCACTCTGCCGAGCGCAGGCTTGTTACGGTTTGGGCCGCTTTCTCTGGCTTCACTAAAAATTAGGCGTGTCAGCCACACATCGTGTGTACTCCACTAGCCACTGGTCAGGAGTGCTCTCTAGAGTGACGTAGTCCCACACAAGCAGTCTGCGAATTCCTTTCGTACGTTTCAGAGAGGGCTACGAAGGCATAATTCAAAATGAAGACTGCAACTCCTCCTCAAATGATCTGATTCAAATTCATTTAGGTTCCGTGGGATATGTCCCTTGAAAGTACCAACTGAAGGCAAGTCAATAACATCATTCGACTGGGACTGCCACATAAGAAGCTTATAACGGGAACTGCTGAAAACGATCCTCTGCCTTGATCTGAACCTACCAGAGTGGAAGGCATAGCTGGTTGCAAGAAGAAGAACATCGCAGGGCTCAAATCGTCGTCGTTTTTGCTAATATTATCCATTCAGGAAATGCATGCTCAAGTGGTCAATAACAAGAGGTCAAGTTTTTGAAAAAAAAAACTATTTCTGGAACTGAACACAGACCATTAGGTGAGAATGATTAAAAAAAATGAGGAAAAAGTCCGTTCGCTGCCAAAACGTAGAGGAAGAAAGGTGGGGTGAGTCTTCAGAATCTATTTCCACTTTTGGGACACATCTAGAAGGATGCACCTAACTTAACACCTTCACCTACTAGATAACTCGTCCACATAATATGTACATTTGCAGTCACTTCTAAAAAATTTCAAAGTAAACATGTCGAGAAGTGTGGAATGGGATTATGACAGCTTCGAGAAAATCAAAGTACTTAGTTTTTTACTATCCTCATCATTAAAAAACTGACTATATGGAACAAAAAGTTTATTCTATTCTCCAAAGAAACACTTACCTGTCCAAGATTATTGAGGACATACACACCACCATTATACACAAACTGGACCAAGAAACCGACCACAAGTCCAGCTACCTGACCGCAAAGGCGCAATTCACCACTCCTGGATCTGATTAAGACGATTTCACTCTGTTTACTCACTCAGCCAAAACTTGTACAGCTTCTTTTGTCAGAAGCAGACAGTTTTAGTCTTGAGGGGCTTGAGATTTTGATTCATAAGTATCTCACTGATTTTTGTGAAGTTTGTTATGTAGAATGTGAATGAAAATAAGAGCATAGCAGATGACGCAGATGGCGAAGAATGTGGTACATGATGAGAGTAGGATCACATTCACAAGCTGAATTATCGCTTTCAGGGGATGAATGCTCACGTAGGAAAGCTAGGAAAAACCTCATGCTGGAACTGATTAATTACTGCGAGAATTTTAGATTCCTATTCTCAAATGTTCAAAATTACTTCGAGAGATGCTTGTTGCCTGTATTTCACTACAGTCGTTAGCAAGCAAAAGCAAAGCTCTCTCTAACTGTTCAGATATTGAGATTTGAAGGGGGTGCGATACTTATAAGTGAGTGTCAGGAGGTGATTCATTGAAGGGAGGTCATCAAAGGTGCGCTAGGAGGTGTACTTGTACGCAGTGACGATGCCCGCGTTGAGGAAATGGCAGCTTTCGCAAGATAACCTGTGCCGGTACGATATCATTTTACCCTCTGAGCATCCAGTTTCATAATTCTTTGCTTCACTTACACAAAAGGGATGTATAAGGAATACATAGCAGTCGATGACATTTGAGCTCTTTTTTCCAATTGTGACTTAGCTCAGCTTAGGCTAGTTTTTTAGCCGCTTTCCCTGTTCAACCCTTCTTCGTAATTTTGCTTCTAGAGTCATCAAGAATAATAGCAACATTGAAGCGGTAGACTGCGACTCGCTAACTTGGTGTATCGCTTTGTATGTCTGTAGGTACAGTGGCCGTCACAAGTTTGGAACCTTTTTTATTTATCTAGCGCTGTCAGTGGTCAATAAAATTGCTTCAAATTCACAAAGAACATACAAAATCAGGAGTGCAATAAGATGGGCATTACACTTTTCCGAAATTAAAAGTCGGAATCGAAAAATACGATTTTTGAAAAATCGCGCGTCAAAAGTTTGGAAACTTTTCGTTTCCCTCATTATCGTAATACCTACTCTTCAAAGTTTGCATGTTTCTGTTAATTTCAGATTAATTACTACATTGGCGTGCAAAACTTAGGGAAGAAAAAAGCTTTCCCAACGATGTGTAACTGGCGCGTAAGACGACTCTATGAAACCTAATCACGCATTCAAAGAGTCATCGGCGTGAATGTGTTAATGGGGACTAATCTGGTAATTTATGAACCGCTAACTTGGTGTGTCGGTTTGTATGAATGGTGCATGTATGTATGTACACTGATTTAGAGGTCAGCGTGCTCTCTCGAAGATCGAACTCTCTCGCGTGTTTGTCCTGTCCTTTCTGAAACCTGTTGTTTCTGATCGCCCTGTCTCACCCTCGCACCACATCGACATAACTGAAGGTGATGACATAATTTCAGCATTTCCAATGGTTTCGCTTGTTTTCTTTTCCAATTTCAGTTCATTCCGCACCTCATCTATCACTAGGATGCGTCTTAGTCTTACACCAGTTTCGTCCCGAAGCTTGCCCCTAATGGGAGAAAATTTCAACACATCGTTTTTGTTAGCGTGTTTCAGTATGAATCTCCCACACCATGATCTCTCCAGTCTTTCCTCAGATTTTTTCAAGGAGAGGAAATAACCTAGCAGTCTTGATTCACCTCTGCGAAATGGGAACTAATGTACAACTGAAACTGCAAAAGTAGAGCAAGCCCAGGTAAGGGACATTCATATTGCAACACGCTAATAAAAACGTTGTGTTGTTACCAAGGCTAATCAGGGAAGCCTTCAAGGACATGGAGTGCCCTTTCAAAACGGATTTTTGCGTATTATAGTGCCACGCTCACCAAGCATGAAACTAATTTTTCTTTTATAGCGGCTCTGGGAATGCTAAAAAACATCTCAAAACCAGGGCTTGTGGTTCGATTCTAACTGAGGACAAATTTTTGCATTTCTCTGTTTTTCACTTTCTTGGGCTCATACAGTGGTACAGCTGTCTAAACGTTTTCAGTGAACAAAAAGCTTGCTATGTGCAACTATTCAACGATACAAGGCCTGTAGAATTTATTGAAAATAGAAAAGTTTCAATCTTCGAGAATGTTGCTGCCGCTTTTCTGACGAACCCAGGATCGCCAGAAAAAATGTTCATCAGTTTAATGCTCCACGCACGTGCCCCTATGGAGGATAAGGATAAAGCATTTGCCGTTGATCAATCCCTTTTTGGGATGCGGCACGCATTCTACTTCCATTTGTACATTCGTAGTGGCGTTTGAATGCGATGTGGCCTATACAATGACTTGCGGGGCCAGCCGATGTGCAAGTCTGGTACCAGTTGACCAACCCCGGGGGGGGAGGGGTGGAAGGCTTGGTTGGCTCGGATCAAGCAGGACCAGTATTCTATTTTTTGATCAGTCCCTTTTCATATTCGAGTTTCATTAGAGAAGACATCAAAGAGCTTTGGGTAAGTCACAAACCGCTAGCAGTGTTGGCGAAATTGAAATTTCCACTTTGGTTGTCATTAGATACTTGACGTCCTCCGACACTTGGAATAAAGGAGACGCTAACAGAAGTCCGCTACACCAGTGAATAATTACAAAGAAGGACGCTGGGCATGTGAGAAATAATCTGAAAATAATGTAGTTTGCAGACTGTCCGATAAGGTGAGTCGTGTGTGGTTGACGACATTATAGAAAGTTGGCTCTGGTTTATCTACAAACACCGCATGGCCAAGCGAGGCGCCAGGAAGATTTTGATGCACAACCACCCTCCCTCTGTCTGCCAACTGACATGAAGAGAACCTTCCCATCTGCGCACAGGTCGAAGTAAGAAAGCGTAGTTTACCTGTCCTCGAAAACTTCCCATTGAAAAAAAGAACCAAAAACCCAGCTTGTCTACTTTCCACCGAAAGCGTCATTCAACAATTAGAAAAAGTCAAAGAAAAATCAATAACAACGAAGCCTTACAACAAATGGAGAAAAGAAACGGAGGAACTAGTCATGAAAAATAGTATACTATGGCAGCACCTCTTCATCCTTCATTTCCTGGAAAATCTTTTTGGAAAGCTGAGTCCCACTACCACTTTTGTTCGCTGACAGAAGGCTTGTAACCGCCTAAGCCTGTTATCTTGGATCAGGTTTTCTACCACTGAAATTCGGAAACATTTTCAAATGACTATAGCTGTTTTCAGAAGGGACGATTTCCAAGAAGTCTAGAACTCCTTCCATGGACAATTTTTACAGAAGTGAAAGCAGATTCGAGAGCAAGAATCTTTTTCTTTTTCTGATAAGTGTAGAAATGTTCAGCGAATTCCAGAATTTCACAATTATATGATTAGAAATTGACGCCGAAAACTGCATTCCTCCTTGAACAGTGGATTTGCCCGTGCTTTACACGACCCCTTTCAGTGATTCTTACTTGATCGAGATTTATTGCTTTGGATAGCTTTTGCTTTTTGCCAGTTGTATCGCGCGCAATTAACTGGCCACTCAGGGCCACGCCGTGTGCCTCACAATCTTTATGTTGGTAGATTGATCTTGAAATATAAACTATCCCTCGGAAAAGATGTGAGATGGAACCTTATACCTTGTCGTAATAAATAACAGAGGTAGCTCAGAATCACTACGCAGACCACTTCAAACCAAGAATACTTTAAGTGGATGGAATAACATAGCTATGAAATTCTCTGCCCTATGTTGGACAGCATCGATCACTCCTTGATAACTGTCATCCGACAGTGATGGTCCGACCGTATCGATCCGGCTTGCGCCCTTCTTACCAGCGGCCCGAATACGGCACTCCCCTTGTCGATCTGGCGAGGATTCCTAGACACAAGCTTGACTGTGGCGGACCGTGGTGGGAAATGACCGTTACCACTCATCCTTACAATAACTGAGGTTGGTGGAATGGTTGCACATAGATATGACACTAAGAGCTAACAATGGCGCCCTGACCATGCTGGACATTCGCTTAACGCCGTCATCAAAACCGTGCCACCCCCAAGCAATCGTAACCGCTGCCCTGACGGCCCCCATATGATCACCTTCATTCAATCAACTTTTTTTTTGCAGAACGGTGCGAATCTGATCGCGGTATCTCAAAGTTACATGTCCTTTCTAGTGCGCACAAAATTAAAATAATCTAAGTTAATCTAGCAGAACTGTTACCCATTCAATCCTTGTTCCAGTCTGGCAGACGCAGAAGTACCTCTGCAACGACATCAAAGTGATACCAACATCTCGAAGGTACAACGTGAAGCAGGTACTCCGGAATTCGTAATTAGCAAGAAATTGTCGATTCTCAAGAAAGAACTCATTAAAAAGCTGGGATTCACGTAGTGAAGAAGTGGCCGCGCAGTTGATCAATGAATAGATGTCTGCAACGCCCTGAATTGCTGCTTCTTCATGTTTAATGAAAAGAAACGATTGAAAAGGGAAATCCATCTTTCCTTGCCTGTGAAAGTACCATAGCATGAAATGGTGTGAATTTTCGGCGACGTATCACAACAATTATTATAATGACGTATAAGGGTAACGTGATGGTGATGGCTGCCACAAAGATTGTATGGGTCCATGGGAGATCCATTCCTAAAAACACAGTTTCCATTGAAATAGTAAACTGAGTCTATTCAGGTTTGGAAAATAGTGTGCATACAGTTCTCCAAGAGTAGGCTAGTTGACAGCTTGCGGTAGTGGCCGTGGATTTCCTTGAACTAAGACTCCGCTCAGCTCAACTTCGATATCTGCCTTAAAACCTTTAACGAGTTTGACTACATTTCCGCTTAGTTGTATTTACAGCATTATTTTCTCGCATTAGCTCTGCAGTAGGAAAGCATTCCTGGAAAACCAGTCCCCTCAATTGAGTCATCAATTGAGTCAGCCTTTTACGAAATGATGAAAACAAAGGCTTTTTGTAGGAGTGTGACTGAAAACAAAGGCTTTTTGTAGAAGTGTGACAACTCTGATCAGAAAATACATTTTTGCAAATAAGTTCTTGTAGCATCCTTGATTTCTATGTTGGCTTCATAGTGAGATTATTTCCGGCTCGTCAAACAGTGGGTTTTCATCATAACCGCGCTACTTCAATCGAATGCAAACATTCGTCTAGCCAGGGTGAATAACGGTCGAGGAATTCCTCGACCATCGCTCTCTACTGTGCGAGAGTAGTGCCGAGAGTGAATGTACGCGCGGAGAGCACAGACGGCTCGCGGGTGGCGAGAGTGAATATCCGCGCGCGAGAACGTAAAGGATCAGGCGAAAATCCTCGACGCCGTTGAGGAATCCTCAAGCAATATTCACCCTGTTTCTAACACCACGAAATGCAATTCATACCATGATCTGATGGTCGTCTGCATGTATTTATTGTAGTTTGTTCTCAACGAAAACAGGAATTCTTAATACTATCGAACTTCTATCATTAAAGATTCAACTTCAAAGGTACGTGTCACACTCGGATTTAGTGCAATCAAATCGAAAATGAAACGAGAAATGAAAATTCGTTGAAAATGGCAGAGATGAGTGTTGGTCATCTTCAGGCTAGAATAATGAGTGACAGATGGTGAACGTGGGGTAAAGGGTATAGGCGAAAGAGAGAGAAAACAACGATAAACGGCAATGAATTAAGTGTCAGATACCGAAGAAAGCACTGGGCAGAATTTGCAAGACTATAGCGTTCCGACTGCGCTTTTTGGAACGGGACCATTGCGATTTTCGCGAAAAGCTCTATCATAGTCACCATTGAGACTGATTCACCTAGACTCATCCTGGGTTGTGCCTTCAAGGATACTATCGTAAACCATTTCTTATGAGAGGGGTTACGATTAGAATGGGTTGGATTTACAGTGGAAGCAGGAATGCTAAATAATGCGCCACTGGCGAAAAAGCCAAGAAATTTGTCAAGTATACGAGAAGCGACTCATTTATTTTTCCCTTGACTTCCGACAATATGTTTGCATGTGCTACCTCCAGATCTACCATCCAGCCACCATACACCAAGTTTTGCTTGATGACGCATTCCACGAAAACATATGGGATACAGCCGCCCAAAGTGGAATTCCTTTCAAAAAAGATAATCGGACGAGGTTGCTTTATCATGATCTTCATTTGAAAATGTGCTCCATACAAAGTCTGATTAGGCTTGTCTATGGGTTTGATGTGGCGGCCGCCACTTTTGATAGAAGTTGCACGGATAAGCTGCTTTTCCAGCATGCTGCTAATATCCAGTGAAGTGTTAGAGCACACCGTTTGTATCAAGTGCGGCGTTGGGCACGTCAAATCCATAGACTCGCCTCATCTGACTTCGAGATGGGCTGTGCATATCCAAATCCTAAAGTGCCACAATATTCATGCTTGATCTTGTAGAACAAGATTTTGACCGGGGGCCACACATTTTGGACTACGTTTTGAAATCTCATAAGCCAGAAAATGATAGACAGGACAGGAGGGTTCATTTCTACTAAAGGATGGCAGACAAGGAAGTGATTAGAGAAATGCGTTGCCGGACTCCGGCTTTGGTACTTGGACGGTAGGAGATTGCCATCTGCGGCGAGAGAGAGGAGAGAGATTAGAGCGAAGCGCCCTGGCCAATAACATCATCTATTCTAATCACGCTTATCGTTAGAGCGGAAATCAACTTTGAAAAATTGTTCTCTTTCGTGGGTTTTGAACCATTTTTTCTCATATTACTGTTGACTGGGGTACCCACTACTTGCTCGGTAACGATTTTCTTGACATCCGCATTTAGAGGCGGAGTTCATGATGAACATCCCGCTCATGAAATAAATGCAGAGGTAGACCAGTGAAGGATGTGGAAAAACAATGGGGAACAGCCCAGAACCCAAGGTTGGAACCCCTCATCTGCCCGTTAATTTCCGCATTGATGCGACTATCATCGGTGCTGGCCCCTCCATTGCTAACTGTTATGCCTCTATTGACGGCTAGAGATAAACGGATATAGGGTAGACGTGTGGAGAGAGGTTCGTGAAAGGTCGCTGCTGGAATACTCTTTGCTGCGAAGCGCGCACTATTCCTCACCCTTCGAGGAAACGTCTATCCGACTTCGCTCATCCCCCTTCTTCTACCTTCGACTTTGCCGTAGAGTCCTTCTTCAATAATGTTGCGCTGATGTGACCGAAGGCGATTTGCAACAAAAACAAAACATTTCACGGTTCAGAGAGACTATATCCCTCTTCAAACTCTGATCCATTTTCCTCTCTGTGGATGTGAAGCAATCTGCTTGAGCTGACAATAACTGCGTGTTTGAATTGCAGGGAAACGCAACTGTATGACTCGATAGTTTCTCAGATATTAGGTCTTTGGAAAAATTCGGTCGTTTTCCTAACACGAACTTAAAAGGCATGTATCTCAGCTTGAACAAAACAATAGCTCGAATTAAAACGTTCTGTTTGAATTCAAACAGAACTTCTACAATCTGCAATCTTGCAATGATAAGCTATTTCAGTCGGCCCTGGTGTTCAGAATGCTGGAGCTCCAAGGAACTCGGCGATGGACCTTTCAGCATCACGTTGGGTTTTCGAGACTTTTCTTGGTTTTCGAGGGAGCTATTGAGTCCCTGAAAAAGCGACGTTCGATAAGCAAGAGGTCTGCCAAGTGTAATTGAAGTATACTGCTGGTGGAGGGTTGGTTGTGTGATCTACGTCGGAGGCACCTGTCAAGCATGTGTCGGCCCCTTTTGTGAATAATACCGGGCACACGTTGTTGACTTTGGTCTGTTTTGACTATTGGCTGTTAAAAGTGCTTCTCATTGCAAAGTTCCGCCTGGTACCGCAGAGCTAAGCCAGCAGTTGACCTAATGATTCGTCATACTCTTCCTTTAGCTTAATTTCAATTTTAGCGAAGTTCCCTGAACTCAATTGTGGTCGATGTATTCAACAAAGCTCTGCGTGCTATAGAAAAGAATTCGCTATACATCATGTATCGCACTCATTAGGGAAAAAACCACTTTCATCACATAAAACAAGCTAGAAATTGGGGACGACTCACCGAAATGATAATTTGTCGCGGCACGCCCTCATAAAAAATTTTGAGCCTTCCAGGTCCTCCCGTATGCGAAATCACGAATCAATTACATCCAGTTAAACTTTCAATCATTTGTTGGCAACATCCGATGTCTGCCTTCACTCCCACCATCTTCAAGGCTATCGCTTTCTTTACAAGAATGTTTTTAGCGAATGTTTCACAGTATATACTATGTTGCAAACTTGAATCAAGCGCACCCGTAGTACCTCTACCTTCTTTCCCTCCTTCCAAACCTATTTGAGCTAGAGGAAAAATTATGCAAACTTGCCCATCAAGTATGCCACATTCCCTGTAATTTTTTCAAGCCGCAAGGCTTAGCAATGCTTTAGAGCATGGGTGACTTGCCTGCTAGATAGTTCAAGCAAGGGAGGTTGGAAAATTATTCATGCGGTTACAGCTTGCTTCTACCCAAGCAAAAAAACGAGGGATGTGACAAAAAACAATTCTGGAATTCTGCAAAGAACAAATGCGTCCATGACGGCGTTTGGACACAGGCATCCATCTATGAAATTCTTCAAACGTATAGCAGCATGAATGTCATTAGTGGAATGATCCATGTTGCTAGTAAGGAGTGGCTTTTGAAATTTTAATAGATTACAAAAATAAATGCACTGTCCTCCACAAACACGAAATCTACAATCGTGAGGGGCATGAAGAAAACACTGATGCCAAGTACTTAGACACAAAAAAATGCAAAAATGAATTTCCATGTCGTTCTTTCTTGGAACCTCGGCATTTGATATGTTTGAATTTTGCAAGTTGTGTTTTTTCGTTACTTGTAGTGCATAGACGATGGGTTTTAAGATGGAATTTTTACTCTTATTGGCGCCTGTACGTTTCCACATGCTTCGTTTCTTCAGACGGGCTGGAGATAGCCGCTTGACAGTTCGGAATTCGTTAGCTACTTCGCGATCATCATCTCACATATTTTATTGGACGTTCCAGAGAAATACGTCGGAGGATACGGGCATATACGACTAATGCGATCCCACTCTTCTGGTCCTGCCTGCGAGCCGTCTGTCGCTCTCGCGCATTCAGTTCATCTTGTACATACTCCACACGGCAGAGAGCACATGGTCAAGAATTCGCATTCAACCGGTATGTCACCTGCCCGTAGTACTGGTCCGTAGCTACTTGACTGTCAAGAATACTGTGCAGGGTTGGGAATCGAGTATGCTAACGAATAAAAGCCTTCAGCTATAATCCAGGCCTCCTGGAGAGACGTAAGCTGTTCTTCTTTTTGGTGGGTTCTCTCGAAAAGTCAGGCTAGTAAATAAAGAGTTTCCTATCTTTCAAATACCCGTTGGCATACCAGTACAAACAGCACGATATGCAAATGAAATCGGCCTCATAAAATCTAATCTAAAAATGATATATATCGCTGTGTCGATGCCGATCATCTTTGT